CCAGCTTGGAGCAAGTCTTAGTCTGGTTGATGGAGACTCAGATATGGTGCCCACCTGCTGGCTATGTGCTTTTACAAAAGGAACAGTGGCCTCTGCCAGCACTGCTGTCTGGCAGAAAGCTGCCCCTTCAGTTCTTACCCTGATGTCTGATCATTTATTTCCTCTGTCTCTAGTATCTTTTGAGCTGCTGCCCCAGTGCTGGAGCTCAGAGGGAGTGAGTCAGAGTAAGTTTGTGCTTGGGCCCTTTAAGAGGAACTGCTTGGGCCTCTAGAAGCCTTCTGTCTCACTCAGCCTCAATTCCCTCTGGTTTTCAAAGCCAGAACTTATGGGGACTCCTCTTCCTGGCACTGGAACCCTGCCTGGGCCAGGGGGAGGTGCTGGTGTGGGACTGGGACCCCTCACTGCTCAGGAGGGAACTCTGCAGCCAAGATATCCCTCGTGCTTTTTATCAGCACATGTGTGGTTGTGGCACCAGCCTGTTTTGTGTCTCCACCCTTCCCACCAGTCCCAGCGTGGCTTCTTCCATATATTCTTAGTCGCAGGACTTCCATTCAGCTAGATTTTAGGCAGTTCTGAATGACGGCTGCTCTGTAGTTTGGTGTACCTTTGATGTGGTTGTGGGAGGATGTGAGTACCACATATCTACACTGTCATCTTGACCAGAAGCCCAGACCTTGGATTTTCAATCCATTCATCTCAAAACTCTGTTGAGTTATGTATCAGATAATTACCATTTTTTATGAACTCTACCATGGACATTTCCCCTACCTTTGAATATCTCTGAAATTGAAGTGCATCTTAACAACTTATGCCACATCATAGTTTACTTGGTTGCCTTTTTCTTTTGAAATGACATATAAATCAATGTGCTTGGTTCCATGGTAACAGATAAGGGCGAAGGCAGCAGAGTTAGGGTTTAAGTCCTAAAAACTGTTTTCTCAAATTTCCCCAATTCAGAACTAATGATCCTCTTCAAATAAAGAAATTTCCTCCAAGGATACGAGCCTCAGAAAAATTGCTCATGTTTCTCCCAGTTCAGATTTTCCCGGCATGGATAACAAAACAATCCCAGGAGTACCATGAGAAATCACACTCCAGAAAAAACCGTGCTGACATCATCATTTCCTCAAATCACCTTCTCCTCACACTTGTTTCCTCCCAAGGCAAGGCTGCTTCATTGAGTGTCTGGGACTCCTCAAAGACGGTGTCTGCCAACACCTAGCGCAAAACTGCATTATCGCCAGGGAATCACCTCTAAAAAGATCTTCTTCTTCTAAATGAGAAGCAATTGCCTAGCCATGGCAATCCCTCAAGAGAACGAACTTTGAATGACAACTATGGCTCAAGACCATGATTAGTCAGAGAGAGCGACCCGGATCCGACAAACCTCAGAACTCCTAGGACACAGGCGTGCCCCCAAAGCAACAGTCGGGGGGAACAGTGAAAGCATATCTCCTGAGAACGGCCGCTCAGAACAGCCGGCCCTGCTGACCAGGCAGGATATCCTCAGCGTGTGCAGTGGTTTCTCAATCGGAAGTATGAAAATTAGGAACATTGCAAAAGGGAGGACGAGAACTCTGAAAGATTAATATCCGGCAAGGGCGGGAGGACAACTTAGGTTACTTTGCAGTAATGACCTTAGAATGAAAAACTATGCCAGTACCCAAGTGTGGAAAGTTAACATTTGAACTGAACAAACCATGAAATCAGGAATGTACATGAATTCATTAGTCTGGTTTTCCTAAGTTTATTTGCTCCCTCAGAAGAAATTTTCCTCTGTTGCTCCATGAAATAAGAGTGTATGTGTGTGTTCACTTTAAACCACATTATCTATTAGATTTCATTATTTCTATCCCACAGCTTAACCTATGTATGTAATCCAATCATTGTAATGGCTTTAGCACTTCTTCAGAAGTAAACACAGTACTTTTTTTCTTTGTGTCTGCCTAGCTTTCTTAATGAGACACTAAAATTAAGACTTTAAGACTTAAAATGAAATCTCCTGCAGACATTGATTGGGCACATAAGACATTCTTGGGGGACTAGCTGGGGTTCTAAAACCTTCCATAAGCCCACATCAGCAGTCACCCCAGGGAACCCAGACAGCCGGCTGTCCCTCGAGTGGAACCTGTCCAGATGGCAATCTACCGAGGGACACTGTCAAGATGAGGGGCACTACCACTCTTAGCACAACTTCGTGGGAGTCACATTTGGTTTTGGATTGCTACACACCATCCGTGAGAGACGTTAACCCACAAAGAAAACTATGAAATGGGATCATAACCAAGAAAAAGCAAAAGAAAGGACTGTGTAGTGTCAGAAAAGGTGAGATGCCGCCACAAATTTCAACGATTTGAAATGGGGCAAGAAGGAAGATATTCTTTCTGTAGGAAGTGCAAAAACACATCAGCCTCTGTCATCGTTGCAAAGACACATGGATTGACACTCCATTGGCAATGCCCTACTGAGCCTTCCTAGCCTTCTCTCCAGACCCTGTCGGCTGACCTGGGCAACATGCCGGATCTTATGGGCTGTGCATGAAAAAAATCCTCATTTGAAGCTAGAAGAACCACTATTGGTTTTTCTTCAAATAAATCTAAAAAAAACATAACCATTTCACTCTTTTTTCTAGCAAAGGGAGTAGGGGAATTCACAACAAATCAAAGACCCAAAGTTGAGTTTCCTGGGGCGTTACCCTTCTGTCTTGACAGGAATAACTTAAAGTAGTTTTGGGGGTAGGAGTGTAAGAGGTCCTCGTGACTTCTCCCCAGTCCCCAACATTTCCCCTCACATCACCTGAGCATTTTCACTTCTCCTTGTGACACTGCTGAAGGAGCACCTACCAAGCCTACTTCTAAAAATGCAAATGGCACCGGTGCAGGAGGTGGGGCGGCGGCAGGAAGACTGGTTTCGTCTCAGAGCTAAGTGCCGAGCACAGGGACAAGGCAGGGCTCGGGAACTGTGTCCCAAAGGTTGGATGTACAGAGGACATTGGTCTTGTTGGGACTCCTAGGCAAGGCACCAGAGTTCGGGGAGCGAGGCTGAGGAGCAGGGCCCCTGGGGCAGAGGGATGACATTGGCAATCATGGGCCTGGACGCCGGAGAACAAGCGCGGTGGGAAGCCCTGGGCATTCAGCGGGGAGGGGACTTCCGAGGTAGCCAAGGATGCAAAAGGGGGATGGAAGGGGGCCTTTCAAGGTCAAGGGCAGCTGTGGTTTCAGGAAGAAGATGAGGGCATTCTTCTCTTTCTTCTTTTTTCTCCATCCTGTTCCTAGGGTCTAAGACTTGGGCTAGAACTATTGGTCTCAAGACTTAACGTCAAGGTGGGCTTCCTTAGCACTTTTCACATGCGTGGACTGGTCACCCTTGTTACCCACATTCACATGATGTTCTGCAAACCACTGGCTTAGCAAAACCGCTTGGGGGCAGCTTTAAAGGCAAGCCCGTCTGTAGCTCAGCTAAGCTTTGCAAGGGTCGGTCTGCTATGGTTCCGCCCAGAGTCTCACTGGGGTCAAGCCCCTTGGTCAGGACAGAGAAGCCACAGTTTCCTAATCAGGGTTGGGCTTGGAACAGTTGGGCAATGAAGCCATTTCCTTTATCGCCCTTTGCCTTGTCAGCGGTCATCACAATGCATGTGACAGAGTTCTTCGAAAGACCGAGAGAAAAAAGGCAAGAGACAGCAGAAAGAAATGCAACAGATATTTCCTATTGCTTTAGATTATGAATACATATTTCAGCATCATTGAAGTGCACAGAAAAGAGCGTCTGGGTCTTTATAAAAAGGACGATGTCTGGGAATTAAATATCGGTACTGGGTCATTGTAACTGTTTCTAATTTTTTTTTAAATGAACTTTCTTACAGCAAACAAACTGCAAGACAGGAATTTTTAGCACAAAAGGGACTTCTCAAAGGTAGAAGTAAAAAGAGTTAAGACTTTATAGGTTTGTACATGACATGGACAAATTTAAAATGTTTTAATACTATGGATTAAAATCTCAAGGTTTCCATCTCTTTGTAACAGTGTAGTTAGGAGACCCAAACAGGATGTGCCAGATAGTAAACTGCTAGTCCAGTGGTTCCCCAAATGTGGCCAGAGGGCCTCTGGGGAGCCATGAGCTCTCCCGAGAAGACCCACAGAGTCCCAGCTTTCCCAGCTGCCTATCTGTCTAAGGCCAGGTTTTCCTTGTGAACTTAAGCTGTGACAGCGTAACCGACTGACTGAATGCAGAAGCAGGTATGAGATTCCAGCTGTCGTCTCTGAAGTCAGACACTGAATACATTTCCAAAAATAGAACACAATGACAGTCCCCCCACCCCATCTTCGAGGGGAGAAAATACAGTTAATTTTCATGAAAAATATGTTGGTTATGTTAACACATAAAGGGTTAGTTATTATGCTGTTGAATGAACACATTATACAATTTTTTGGTTTTAATTTCTAACATGGTAAATATTAATAGATATAAACCACAAAACCACAGAAGCAGAAGCTCTTTGAGGTCCTCAGTGAGTTTTCACACTGAGCCCCGAGACTAGATGTTTGAGAGTTACTGCATGAATCCTGGCTCACTTTTCTTAAGCTAATTCTCTAAACTCCATGTAACTATCTAAAAGGCGGCTTAATCTGGTGATCACTTCACCCCTCCCCAGTTCCCTCCAACAGCATGCTCACGCACAAGGGTAATATATGAATGTTTCATAACTCATATGGTGTGCAAGTCCACCATTCAAAATGTTTGCACACATTACATTCAAAATGTCAGCAAGGGTTGTGGCTAAGACGCACAGATTCCCAGGCCCGTCTCTGAGCCCCCAGGGACTCCCACTTGTGAATTCCATCTGACTGTGGGAGCGTGAGGATGCCCTCTCCCACCCAGAATGTGTTCTGTTTGAGGGTGAGTCCTCAGGCCTAGCCCAGTTCCTGGAACCTCTCAGGGCTCTGCCAGAACCTGCACCAGTGCCGTAGTTACCTGTCCTTGGTGCAAACGCATGGCCTTACCTATCAGTGTCACTCCAGCCAGTCTGGGGGAACATGAGGTAGGACCTTCCCTGCAATGACAAAAGGAAAACAGGTCACCAAGCTTTCTTTCGTCATTTTAATTTGCCCCGAAAAGACGGCGCTTCAGGAGGTCTGATATTGTACAAAGTCATAAGCACCTGGATCAGCTTGTTTTTAGGCTTCAGAAATGGGTGAAATGTCTCAGATCTCAGCCCAACCCCACCATTTAACCACCCTAGTGGACACCCAGGTCGCACACCACACGGAGTGCAGCAGAGTGAGCTTTTCACCAGAAATGCATGGAATGTACTCACATGTCTTTTTTGGTGGGACGAGATTGCAGTAATTAGGAAACCAGATGCAGGGGATTTCCAAAGGTCCATGCTGAGCGAGCGACTGCCAACCCTGCACCCCTGGAGGGAGGTCTCCTGGAACTCGGACTTCCGCCTCCATTGTCCTTCCTTCCCCTCTGACTTGCTGGGACGGGCTGATCTGTGTCTCTCCGCCCCACAAAAAAGTGCCTACGTTGACATCCTAAGCCCCAGTACCTCAGAACGTGACCTTGTTTGAAGACAGGGTCTTTTCAAAGGTAACCGAGTTTAAAGTGAGAGCACGGGGGTGGGTGCTCGCCCTAGAGATGCCCGGTGTCCTTATCAAAGGGAGAGTTTGGACCAGGGAGGAAGACAATGTGGGCGTACAGAGAGAGCACCGTGCGAGTTTAAAGACAGACACTTAAAGGAGAGAGGCCTGGACCAGATCCTTCCCGGATGCCGTGGCCTGGGGTCCAGACCTCTCACCTCCAGAACTGTGAGAAAATAAACCTCCCCGTTTGCGTGCGGTGCTTTGTTACAGCAGCCCTAAGCACACCTGCCCGTAGGTTTCTAACTCGCAGCCCCATTTCCTGTCGGGGGAGAGAACTTGCAGGGAAGCATTCTAGGGAGTTCTTTATTGGAATAAGTGAGGTGTAGAATGGTCATGAGCGTGGCCCCCGGGGAAAGCTCTGACAGCTCCCTCAGCCACTGTGGTGTGTGAGCGCTGCCCTCATCCTCCCCTTCAGACTGGAGGGGGCTTCAGTAATCAACGAGTGAGTGTGTTTGGGCCCCTCAGTGTGGGAACCAGGGAGTGGGACCTGTGTCTGTGGACGTCAGGCCCTGGAGGCCTCCACACAACCTTCGTCTGGGGATCTCCCTCTCAGAAAGCGCTCCCTCTGTTCTTTGCCTTTGCCGGAACCTGACCTCACTGTGTCCTGGGTCCACGCATCCTGCACCACCCATGCGGCTTCTAACCTGCAACAGTGGGAAGCTACTCAGTGCTTTGATCTTGCTACTGACCTTGGCATGACCCAGTCCATACCCTCTCCTGCTCCCTACTTCCTCATTGTCTTTATTTTTTCATCACATGCCGACCACAGAGTCGTCTTCAGCCCCCCTCTGCATTCCTCTGCTAGATCTGTTTTGCTGCCAAGTTATGGGTTGCTCCCTCCCATGTCCTCTTGCTCTGCCTTTCCTTATATGCCCACCAGCTGCATGCTTGGTCAGGCCATTGGAGCGCCATGGTGTGGACAGTGGGTGGCACTGTTTGGACACCAGAGATATTTTGTTTGGGGGGCGCCTAGAAGGAAAGAGTAAAGTGTGTAATGAGGTCTAAGGAGGAATGTGGTGAGAGTCAAGGATGGGCTGTGGGTGGGCTAATTGGGGGGTGGAGGGGTGGGTGTGGCGAGGGCATCTAGTGCACATACCATGCCTGTCCAGACAAAGTCCAGCCACTGTGAATATAAGGAGAACTGTTTGTGCAACATCAATATAACCTGGCAGCCAAGGAGAGTGGACTGGAATGCGCAAGCGTGAATGATGATGATTTCACTGTACTAGTTGGTGGGGGTGGTAGACACCGTTGAGTGAGCATGTGTCCTGTGTGGCCATCACGTTCAAAATGACTGAGCAAGTAGAGCAATGAATCTGCATCAAATTTTGTGATAAGCTTGAACATTTCTCCGCAGAAACTATTTGGATGATTCAGAAGGTTGCAGCTATGGGTAACTCATGATTGAAGCTTCATCACAACAATGTTCCTGCTCACGCATCATGTCTTGTGCAGAGTGTTTTTGCAAAACATTGAGTTACCCAGGTGACTCGGCACCCCCTACAGCCCAGATTGGGCACCCTGCAACTTCTGGCTTTTCCCAAAACTAAAATCACCTTTGAAAGGGAAGAGATTTCAGACCCTTGATGAGATTCAGGAAAATACTGTGGGGCAGCTGATGGTGACTGGGAGAACTCACTTTAGGGACTGAGGCATCATTGTGCTGTGTACAGTGTGTCTTGCATCTTGTATCTTCTTCAATAAATGCCTCTACTTTTCATATTCCATGGCTGAATACCTTCTGGACAGACCTCATATTTCGTGCTAATAAAAAGAAGTTGAAAGTTGAATTGTTTGGGGGATTACAAATTGGTATGAATGTTAAAATGCCAACAACTCCCACAGAATGTTGGCATCAGAATGTTGTGGATCATTGCAGAAGCCTCCTCCTCCTGGTGGCTTGAATTTCCTTCCTCTGACATTGTGCACGCCACTGTCATATTTTAGTACGTAAGTTTGGTGAATGCACCATTTCACCTAGTCGTATAGTCAACAAGCATCTACTGAGCACCATATCTTTCTCAATGTTGACATTTGGTAGGAAACAAAACTGATTCTGTCTTATTTTCCTACCATCTTCTCAAATAACCCCTGCTCCAAATAATATTTTCAAGTTGGTTATTAAACAGCCACCAAATATATGTGTACACATACATACATACACACATACAAATGTATGGCAAATACATTACTAAAACCCACACACAGACTTTTAACTCAGTTACCATGACCAAAATGAAGAAACTCAGGAGTAATTGTATTCAGTGATTACTAAGTGATGAGCACGCTACAAGTAGTATTATTTTCCTTTGACAGCTTTTTCACTTATAGGATGAAGTGGAAAAAATATGGGGACATTTTCAGAATTGTAGGAATTATCCCCTCTGTCATACCATACTTTTGTTTTCCTCTTTCAGTTTTATGTTTATATATATACTTTATATATATTCTTAGTCCCCACCCAAGGATGTTTCCTGATTTTAGAGAGAGATGAAAGGAGAGAGAGGGAGAGAGAAAGAGAGAGAAAAAAGGCATCGATCGGTTGCCTCCTGCTGTGCCCTGATGGGGGATCGAACCCGTAACCTTCGGTGTTCGGGATGATGCTCCACTCAACTGAGCCCCCCCACCCCCCGCCCTACCAGGACTCCTTTTTAAAATTGTAAACTACTTGAGAAAATTGTAAGCTTCCTTGTCATAGTTTATGTGAGGAAAACCAATTTAGGTGCTTGGTTTGGTATTCTTCTACCTCCTTAAAGTTGTAATATAAGTAGCTTTCCTTTTTATTTATTTATTTTTTTTCAGCTACAGTTGACATCCAAGGCCGTGTGTTTCAGGTGCACAGCACAGTGGTCAGACACTCATGTAACATGCGAAGCGACCCCCTGAGGTCGTTGGAGGCAGAGACAGGACCTGGACGTGCCACTTTGTGAAAATAGCACCGTTCCCCCACTGCTTCCCTCTGCCAGCACTTGTCCCCTGTCAGAGTCGGGAAATATTCCAGGCTGTTCTGTAACCGTAATTAGGTCCCTGCTCTGCCTAGAGATGCACTCTAAAAATGGGAAACCGTAACTAACGTTTCCACGGTGGCGCTCACTAAGGTAGCATTCAGCAAAGCTGAATGCGTGCCCGCGGTCTCCATCCACAGGCGAGCGTTCAAGCAGATTCCCTTCTCACGCTCCCAGCAACGCTCCCGGACCAGGCCTCCGCCGGGGCTGCCGCACGCCGGAACCGGGCTTTCTTCTCCCGATTCGACAAGTTTGTTTCCCCGCAGTTTCCGCTTACCGTTTTTGTTTTTCCTCTGGGGATGGAAGACAGTGTGACTTCCAGACGATGTTATCGCTTTCCTCCGGCTCCCAGCACCATCTGTTGCTGAGGATTCGTTCCATTTCACGAGAACTCCACTCACTTCTTACTCTAATTTGGAACATGATTGGCCTCTTAGGTGGACCATTCTTGTACAGTTTATCTGCATTTGAGTTGTTAATCTTTCCTCTGCCCCTTTTTCCTTAAGGGATTCTGTGCCCATTGTCAATTTTCTAAAGTTCACTGTTTTTTGTTGTTGTTGTTATAGGATTTTTTCATATATTTCTGAGAATTTTCAGATTGCTAAGCTTTGTTCATCGAATTATCTTATTTTCTTGAAAGTCAAGTTTTTGCTATATCTTAGGCTTTTTTTGGGGGGGCAGGCTTTATTTAATCCTTCCACAAATCATGAGTTCTAGCCGCCCATGTATATGAGCAGATGAGGCACCGGAGGGACCGCACACCTGCGTGTGCGAGCTGGTCGCTTCGCTCCAGGGCGGACAAGCTGGTGGGCGGAGGCCAGCCAACCTGCCAGGCCTCGGCTGCCCTTAAGTTCGCTGCGCGGACCATGTACCCGCAAGTGGATGCTGACAGTCATGGAGGCCACGACCAGACATCGGGGAAGGTCACACGGGCCACCAGGCCAGGCTGCAGGGGGTGAGCAGCGTGTGGGGCAGGGGCTGCAGGCCGAGGCCGGGGCCGGGGGCTCTCCGCACCCCTCTTCCGCGCCCCACGCCCAGCCCGCTGCCTGCACTGCCTGGCCCCCGGGGACAGGTATAGCCCTCCACGTAGTTCCCAGACCCTAAGTAGCTTCCAGTGTCTCATTCTGAAGGCCAGCGAGATAAGCAATTGCCTGCATCGTCTCCCAGTTCTGTCCGGATGCTCCGACGAAGCACCGGTGATGCGGGCACTTGCCCGTCCCTCTCATCCACCGCAGGGACACTTTCTCTCATTTTTTCCCTCTTTAATAACCGTAAGTTTTCAGAGAAATCCATCAGTTCAAAGTATCATATGACATTTTCTTAAAAAAGAGTAATCACACAAACCTCACCAAGTGGTCAGAGATAGTGAATTATGTACTACTGGGTATTTTCTGGATTTAAGTCAACTACATTAGAAGTTTGGTTTCTTTAGGCTCACATGAAAATGAATGTCTCCTGTGGTTAAGTGCTAGATTCGTCACACCCCAAGTATCCTCTCGGCCACCCACTAGCCTGCAGAGGCCTGGCCAGGGTTCAGGGGAAGAAGAGGGGTGAGGAAACCGTTGGAAAACGCCCAGTTTTTGTTGTGTCTCCTAAAAGGTTGAGGCTTGCCTGGACTTGTTGGAAATGGGGAAGTTCTGGTTGTAGAAGCAGGAACTTATCTCGAATGTCCCCAGGGCCCAAGCTGGAGGGGACAAGATACAGATGCCTTCCGGGCAGGTGTCTGCGTGCAGAAACACAAGGAGGCCTGGGCTTGGGGAGATGGGTTCCTGGAGACTTCTCTCTTATCTGG